TAATTTAAACCTTCAGTAGTGACAACACAGGTGAGGAATAAATTATGTTTTTTTCTTCTTGGTTTAGACCAATTTCTGATGACTTATTTTGTACCATCCTCTCTTCAGGCCAAGGTTGTTAGGAAGTGTTGCTGTAAGAGAAAACCAAACAAAATAACCAGAGTTGCTTTTTCTTTTTTTCCCCTGGGCTAACATATGTCTAACACAAGTAATTTAAAAGGCACAGGTAATTGAAAGGAAAGAGTCAAGGAAATGGAAAATAATGCAGAAAAAAAAAATTATCCTGTTACCTCAATGGCAAACAGTTTTATAATAGAAGTGGCTTTCTAAAATACTGTTTATTTACCCATGTTTAGTAACTAAATAGGTCAATAAAGCAAAGTATCTTGACATTTCCAGTGCACACCAATATACAAGCACACACACATGTGTGTACATCTATTTACTGAAATATTTTAACAGTGACCATCGTTTGTGCTAAGATTAATGATAATGATTATTTAACTATTTTGCATGCCTCTATTCTTTGAATGAATGCTTGTTACTTGTTACTTACGTAATAACAGCAGAATGATTCATACACTCAGATACACATACAATTATTTGAATGAATTAAGAAAGGAGAGTCAAGGCAATATTTGGTCATTCCAAGGACTCTGGATGGGAAAGGATCTTAATGCTATTAAAATCTGAAACTACCCTTCAGAATTATGGAAAATGAAACCAGTTAAGCATTAAATAAAGTCAGAATTTTTGTTGTAAACTTAAGTACAAAAGCAAAAAAAAATCTTTGAAACCAAGATAATGTTTAAAAAACAGGGATTTATTAACAGTATGTTAGGTCTAAAATCCCAACTTGCAGGGAAAAAAAATCAGTGAAGTGAGAGATGGAGGAAGGTAAAAATGTATTAAGGATCCCTAGTACTAAAGGGAACCTCAAAAATGCCTCTAATTCCATATGATGATATTGTGCACTTTCTAGTTCCATGCCACACTCTGTATAGAAATAGCTCAGTACTAGATGACATAATGGAAAATAACAAAATTCAACAGGATAGTAAAAAAGAGTAAATTTTAAGACATGCTATCTCTCAGGAAAAATACCACTTACATGTTCAATTCACTAAAAATAAATAACCGATGAAGTTACAACTTGATACAAGGAGACTGGTGATAATCATACAACCAGGTACTTTGGCAATAGAGACCAAAAAAAATGAGTGTATTAATGTATTTATGCTTTGATCAATCTTTCCTAGGGTATAACTGAATAATTGTTCCAAAATGTGTATACATTTAAGGATATTATTTACAGGGAGTCTGTAACAATGAAAAACTGGAAGTAGGCTAAATATTCATAATAATGGATTTTTAAAATAATTTAATTTTCATTTTTAAATTGAATACCATATGTCACAGAAGAATGATATAGGACTAATTTTAAGATATGAAAAGTCCATAAGAGTCTTTAAGTTTAAAAAAAACTTATTTTTATATTTACTTAGAAAACATTTAAGATTTGCATCTATATTATTAATGGAAATTGTCCTTGTGTGTTGATTTTGAAAAATTCACCCTTAATTTGTATATCAACCAAGGTAACTTAGATATTTTAATAAATATTTGATAATACATTAACAATAAAAAAGATGTAGTTTGAAAATAAAATGATCTGCACTTTAATTCATTGTTAGTTTAGTTCTAATACCAAAGTTTACCTGGATACCCCTCTTTTCCTTTCATATAAACCTCAAAATCTTTTTCTCAATTTTGGTACTCATATGTCCAAAAAATAACTTGATTGAGTTTATTTAAAATATATAGAAACATACATATACATAAATAGATTATTAATGCTGGAAAAGAAGAAAAATAAGCTTTAAAGTTAAAAGCTAATAGAGGAAGAAGTCAATTTCAAGTTAAGTAGAAAAGAGATATATTTTAGATAATCAGACTCAAAATTCGCAGAAAATTTCCTTTGTTCTAAGTGTAGTAACTAAATATTGAATTATAAAGTAAATATAAAATTTAAATATGATAGATACGATCGTTTTAAAGATAAATATATAAGCTACAAATTTGACTGAAACCTAATAATTTAGGAAGGTGCTAAATTGCCAAACTGTAATAAAAATTATACTGTTCCAATATATATTCTTTCTTGCATTTCTATTTTAATGTCTTTTATTTTTATTTTTATTTGCCTTTTTCTGATGAATAATAATGTTGAGCAATTTTTCCTGTTTTGAGTCCCTACAATATCATCTTTTGCGTAGTGTCTCTTCAAATAATTTGACTACTCGGTTCTCTCACTTTTTGTTATTGAGTTGTAGGGTCCTAAATATGAGTACTTCATTGGAAATATTCATTACAAAAGTTTCCCCCGCATTGTGACTTCCCTTTTCCTTTTATAAGGAAGTCTTTTGGGAAGCAAAAGTTCTTAAATTTTTAATAATTTTATTGTGTTGTAGTAAGCACACATATTAGATCTCCCTTCTTAACAAATTTTTAAGTGCATAATACAGTATTGTTGAAAATAGGGACAATGTTGTACAGCAGATCTCTAGAATTATTCATCTTGCATAACTGAGACTTTATTCTCATTGATTAGCAACACTACTTCTTCCCCTCCCCCAGCCCGGAGACAACCGCCATTGTACTCTCTGCTCCCATGAGTTTCCCTCTTTTAGCGACCTCGTGTAAGTGGAATGATGCAGCTATCTGTCCTTCTGTAACTGGCTTATTTCACTTCGTATAATGTCCTCAAGGTTCATCTGTGTTGTCTCCCATGGAGGATTTCCTTCTTTTTTTATGGCTGAACAACATTCCATCATATGTGTACACCCCATTTACTTTATCCATTCATCTCCTGATGGACATTTAGTCTGTATCCACATGGTAGCTATTGTAAACAGTAGTGCCATGAACACGGGACTGCTAATAGCGCTTTGAAATCCTGACTTCGATTATGTTTAAAAAAAAAAATCCAACAGTGGAATTACTGGTTCATACAGTGGTTCTATTTTTTAAGTTTTAAAAGAGCCTTCAACTGTTTCGCATAGTGGGTGCAATAATAATTTGCATTCCCACCAACAGGCTTTTGTGTGTGCGTTTTTCTGATACTAACAGGTAGTCATTTGTGTTTTTGACTTGCATTTCCATGATGATTTAGGACACTGATCATATTTTTCATATGCCTGTTGGCCATCAGTACGGTCTTTTGGGAGAAGTGTCTAAACAAGTCTCTAACCCATTTGTAAATCAGGTTATCGTGGTTTTTGGTATTGATATTCCATATTTTCACAATTAACCCTTTACCTGATAACGTGGTTTACAAATGTTTTCTCTAATTCTCTAGGTTGTCTTTCACTCTGCTGAATGTTTCCCTCGCTGTGCAGCAACTTGTTAGTTTGATACAGTCCCACTTGTCTATGTTTTGTTTTTCTTACCTCTACTTTTGGTGTGAGTCCAAAAAAAATCACATCTGAGGCCAATGTCATAAAGTTTTTCCCTGTTTTCTTTGATGGCTTTTACTGTGCTAGGGCTCACATATAAAAGTCTTTAATCCATTTGGAGTTGAGTTTTGTGTATGGTTTGAGGTAAGGGTCTGATTTCATTCTTTTCTACAGATATATTCTGTTTTTCCAACACCATTTGTTAAAGAGCCTATTCTTTCTTTATTGTGTATTCTTGGGCACCTTTTTAATCATATATGTGTGGACTGAGTTCTGGGTTTCTATTCTGTTCCATTGGTCTTTATTGTTTTTATACCAGTACCATACTGCATAGATGTATTTCATCTAAAAATGTGAATTTATTGATTTTAAGTTGTTACTAGTACCCTCTTTTCTTCTAATGTCCAAAATATCAAAAACATGCAATTTTAATACCTGATATTGATAATTTATATCCTTTCTCCTTTTAATTTCATTAGGTAATTTTTATCACTTGCATTATTTGTGATATAATAATAAAATTGCTATTGTCTTCGATTATTTTTTCTTTATTTTTGTTATTTTTCTGTGTATTTTCCTTTTCATTTATTTCTGCTCTTTCCTTAATTCTTTCTTTCCATCCATCGTCTCTGAGGGCAATGAGTTCTTCTATCTCTTTGGTAAAGATTATAATGGAAAAAATACATTTGATTGTTCTCTGTCCTATAATATGCATTTCATTGTGATTAAAAGGATAAAAGAAACACCTGCTAAAAAGGAGAGATATGCCTCATCTTTGGAGAAACTGAAACAGTCTGCCTTGACCATAGGATTAAGATGGTATTGTCCCTACTTAATAGTGCTTTTAAAATCAGAAATGCCCTCGTCAGGCATGTATCTCAACATTTGTTATATGAACATCAGTCAGTATGCAACTTTGTACTGCAAGTATGAAGAGAGAACTTGCAAAATAATCTTGGATGCTATTGAAATATTCTCTATTTTTATATTCAATCCATCATTTGCTAAGGGAAAGTTTTCTATACTGATAATAAAAGGGAAATATCTAATTTTATAAAATGATGTGTTTGATCATTTCATAGTCTAATCTCCAAGTTTACCTTCCCTATGAATTAATGCAGTAAAATCAAAGAATACTGCAAAACTCTATCTTAGTAACAGTAATTTTTTTTCTGAGATAATAGTATAACTATAAGCACAAATGGCATACCTTATAATATCAGTCCTCTTTTTATGTGGCAGTAAAATGTCATTTAGATATAAGTGCTTCTTACCAATACTCAGAAAAATCCTATAATTTATATCCTCATAGATATTTGCAAGGGTGCACAAAAGTCACTCTTTTAGTATAGCTCAGGGAAGAGAGGGTGAGATGTCACGAAACCGAATTTGATTGTTAGGGGTTATAAAGTAATACACAATGAGAATCATAAAGAATATCATGAACAAATGCTTTGGTTTGAACCAAACAATTCTTAAGTGCTCATAAACATCATGATCAAAAGACACAATGCAAAACGATTAATCACATTGTTCCACACTCACCTTACACTGGGGGATAAATTGCTGCTCTCTTCTGACACAGATCTATAAAATTGATAAAGCTTATTTTAAAGTGGGGAACTGTTAAAATCTTAAATGATTATCTGAATAAAGAAGGGCTTCAAAGAAACAGAGTGATTTATTAAGTGAATTATCTTCTTCCAACAAAATAAAATAAAAACAAAATAGATGCTGTCTCAATATTAGAACAAATGCCATCAGCCATCTTGCTTTGTTAACTCTTCTCGTCATCATTTTACATTTACTCAAGTGTTTATGTTGTAAGCTCACATTTGTACAGTCAGGTCCCCTGATTCTACGTTATCCCTAACTCCTCAAGTCAAATGAAACCAAAACCATTAAGTAGTAGTCAAAAATTTCAGTTAAATTTTCTATGTATGTGTACATATTTCTTTCTCTCATAACACATATTCATGTGTGCTCTTCCTATCAGGTTTTGGAATGTCAAACTAGAGGTAAATATTTCTGTGGGACAATACAGTGAATTATTAATAAGGGTCTCGATAATGATATTTAAGTACTTGTGTAACTCAGGTAGCAGAGTTGCACAGTGGAAGCATGATAGGCCCATTAGTATTTGTGTGACTGATTACAAGTAGCATGGGATTTCACTTACTAATTTGGTATACCTAAAAACTTCATGATACATTGGAAAGCTAGTATTATCTCCCATCTTATAGAGTTATGGAGAATAATTTTAAGAACATAAAGATCAAATCACTTGTTCGAGAAAGCAAGCATAGTTTTTACATGCAACATTTAGGAGTTAAAATTAGGTTTTCTGAAGCTCAATGTAATTCTCTTCGCAATTCATAATGCCACTTCCTGCCTCCTAACCTGACATAGTGAACTGACACATGTAATTTCTAGTTTAGAAATGATTTTCCAAATTAGCGATATCAATACTCAGGAAGATAAATATTATGGAGGCAAGTTCGCAGATACTATCTCTAGTTGAAGAAGGTGCTCTAATAAATTGTTTGCCACTGATCTGAGACTCTGTCTCTGAAATACTCAGTTTCGGAAAGTTCCCTTGAAATGCAGTGCGGCCTATTCTCATGAAGCCTGCGGCAAGGTAACCGTTTAGGCAGGGTCAGTGGACTGAGAGACTGGACAAACCACAATATTCAAGGCACCCACACATTCCTGTAAAATGATTCTGGTGGTAAAATGAGTGAAGCTAGAAAAACAAGGAGGATGGCAAACCAGTCTCAAATGTGTCCCTGGGCCTCTCCTCATGTCACATTACCTAGAGTCTTAGATTATTCCTGATGAAGCCTGAATACTTTGTTTCTTGGCTTATTTAATATGAGTTTTATATGTTCATATATATATATATATACACATATAAATATATATAGGTACCTCTCACTTTCAGTTTCTCCTCTGTAGCAGAGCTCTCTTATTTTAGCCCGCTTTGTTAAAACAGCAGCAGTAATGAGAAGCACAGGTAAAGAAATGTAGAAAATGAGTTGAAATCGGCGTTTTGGGGAAGTGGTAGGTCTCTGGTCCAATAAACTTCTAGCTACAATAGAAAATACCCATTTCAAATTATGCCACAGATTTTATTAACCAAGTGAGAAAGTGGAGGGGCTATCGTTACCAACACTAATCCCAAACACTAAATATTTCATTCATATGTATTATGAATATAATAAAGTTCCAAAACCAAATGTACAAAATGAGCTGGTCCTAGTGCTTTACTGATGACTTTACATTTTCAACCTTCCACCATATGGTGCTTTCTTTGATTGAAGGAAATGTTCTTTCACGAAGCACAGGTTTAATACATTTCAATTCTTTCCTGTTACAGCTTCTCCAAAGTTCAAACATGCATGTCACAGAGATTATTGGGATTATCCCCGGGAAATGCGGCATTTAATTTCTCCCATATTACGACAACTTTTTCTAAAAATTAAAAATTAGTAGTCACTAAGTTAAATAACTAAGTTGTTCAATCAAATATGTAGCAATATGAAATCAAAATGGCTCTAGGATTATTGCATCAGATGCATCGCTGAGCCTGGCGTTAACCCATTTGTGACTAACTGGTGCTAATTCCTACATTTTTCTCATCAGTTCTTACTCATTCTCAACTGAGAAGGTGGCTCCTCAGTTCCCACCTCTTTGTATATTCCAGACACCTTTCTGGAGCTGCACTGTGGCAAGTTCACTTTCTCCACGGTTTGCTGGCCTGCCTCCTTTTCCTGGAGACGGAGCACCGCCCCGGCACTTCTTTGCCAGCGGGAACAGTGGAGGAGCCGACAGGCAGAGGAGCCACTCTCAGGCCACACTTATTGTCAATTAATGATCACTGAGTGTCAGTGTGATCCCGTATCACGGCCTCTGGGGCAGTTACATTGCCAAAAGAATTTTAAAGTGAGTTCAGGGTAGGAAGTTCAACACTTCCTGTTGGTCTGCTTTGTGGCTGGGATTCCCCGTGTTATTAGGATAAGAATTACATTATATTTGTAATCAAAAAGCCACTGAATCAGAGGAAGAGACCAGCCTCTCTGGCTATATACTGCAGACTGATTCTCAGCTACTTGTATAGTCTGTGGGGTTATCAATGACACTACATGGGTTATTTGAAAGGAATATGGTATGTTCCCAGGAGGCCTCAAAAGCATGAATAGGAATTCCAGAAACCAGAAAAATTGGTCTGTCTTCTTTCTCTTATACTACTGCCTAGTTTTAACAAGCATTACTACTAACAGCTAAAAATGAATGTTTTCTACTAACTCTCCTTTCAGTTTGGTCTTCTTCATTTAATTAGTTGCTCTGGGTTTCCATTTTACATCGGTTAAAACCAGTCCCCAGTAATCCGCCTCACAGCTTCCTGTACTTCATTCCACAGATGCTTTGGGGAATCATCTAGGCATTTAACTATTCATGGTTTCCCACCTTCTTCCTTGTATTACCCCAAACTGTTTTAGCCTTTACTACTCAAGGGTTTAACTGTCAAATCAGACTCCCCAAAGCATAAATCTCACTCACACCAAACATTATAGTCAAACATCGCATATAGAAAAAAGGGTCTCTCCCCAGAGGAGCCTGACTCCCTCAGCTGCCTCCCCGAAAGGTTCCCTTGTCCCCCTGCCCCTGGCATCCAAATTGGCTTTAGAAAAAAACAGATGAGAGTTTTGAGGAAAATGGAAACGATATTGCTCATAAGGAAGCTACCTCAGTTTTGCACTGGTAAAAACATGATTACCTAGTTTCTCCAACTGACTATTCCACCATAAATCAATAAATTCCAGGTTTTAAAGTAAGCTATGTATACAGCTAAGTACAATCTGCCAAAAACATTTTATAGAGAGGGACTCTTAGTATCTACCGCCAATGAATACTGTTAATGTATGTGTGGTGGTTAATTTTATGTGTCATCTTGACTGGGCCATGTGTGCCAAGGTACTTAGTCAAATATTATTCTGGGTGTTTCTGTGAGGGTGTTTTGGAATGACATTAGCATTTATAATACATCGGTAATTATAAAAAAAGCAGACTGCCTTCTTTAAGATGAGTGGGCCTCATCCGATCAACTACAGGTCTTAATAAAACAAAAACGCTGATCTTCTCGAGAATAAGAGAGGATTCTTTCTGCCTGAGGAACCTGAGCAGAGACGTTGGTTTTTCCTGTGTCTAGAGCCTGCCAGCCTCTGGACTGTGCATAAACCGTCAGCTCTCCCACGGCTCCAGGCATGACAACTCGCCCTGCAGATCTTGGGACTTGTCAGCCTCCATAATCACATCAGCCAATTCCTCTCTCTCCCCCCTCCGTCTCCAAACACACACAAACATCCTTTGTCCAGTTTCTCTGGAGAAACCTAATACAGAGTTTGGTACTTAGAATTAGGGTGCTGCTGTAACAATTATCTAAAAATGTGAAAATGGTTTTGGAACTGGGTAATGGTAGATAGAGCCTGGAGAAATTTTGAGGCACATTTTAGAAAACCCTAGATATACTGTAGAGGTAAAATTATAAAACTATATCATTTCAAATAAGTATCTATTTTTCACATATTTATGAGAAAATAATGATATACGTGTAAAATTATATGTGACGTGTTCAATTATCATGCTTTTATTTTGGTCTAATACACAGTCTGATACAACGTTGCGTTAGCTCTCTAAAAAGTTGGTCACCCTAGGCATGGCCACCGCCTAGTATCTGAGCTACAGGCAAGCCTGCCGGGCGTTTCATTATTCCTTTGCCCGAAAGGAAAGGGAGTCAGGGTGGACAGTCCTCTTCCGCTCCCGGGTCATTTTAGATGGGCTCCCATACATTCTGGAGCAGGGAGTTGTCCCTAAACTGTTCCCATTCTTATCCAGACTAAGATTATTCTTAATCTTCGAATAATGCTCAGGAACTCCAGCGTGGGAGAGGAGGAATTCTCAACAGGAAATTTCAAAAAAATTAAATGGGAAGCCTTATAATTCAGGAAAAGGAATCAAAATCAGCCTGAAAGATTCCAGTGGCGCTAATATAACAATGAGGTATAAACCAGGAATATATGAGGCAATCCAGAGTGAACCATCTAAATTAACTAGTCAAATTATATGCACTGGAATTTCTCATTTGAAAGTGCCTAATACGGGTTACACTTTATGTTAGTAAACAATGTCAATGTTGACATAGAAAGGAGAGTACAAACATATAGTCCAATTTTTTTAACCTTATATATAAAATAAAACCGCGCTTTTTGGCTTTCATTGTTCGGTAATCTAGCTTGTAACCCATCCTTTTATTCTCTTTCGCATTATCTTTCACTAATAAACCGTTAAAGACACTAACTTGATTCGGATCGGTGCCCATCATCAATGCTTCCAAACTGTCCTTTCTGTTCCGTGCAGTTCGGAGGAGCAAACCCTTTATTACAATGGCAATGGTTGAAATTGTTGCAAACCTGAAATAATCAGAATACAGAATAATTTTTATGTATAAAGATGGTTTTCAATAGAGACCAATGAATATTCTATACTTATGCAACAAGTAATTTATTCCAGATAAATTAGCCATTCTAGAGGATTTATCTTAAATGGAAATGTCAACAAATTTTCACACGAAATTATCTACACCTTAAAATGTACATCTAGCCACCTTTGTCAAATATCAACTGCTCATACAGGCAACTGATATTTTAACAAAAATAATAAAATAAAATTCCAAAACAAATAAATAAGTAAATAAAAATTACATGTAGCTTCTGTTGCCAAATCAGTTTTTTAATTCTTTCAACTCTCCCCACAGCCAAAACCAAGTATCAGTAATTACCAATAACACACCATTATTAATCATCATGCACTTGCCAGCTTCACAGAGTGTCCCAGGCTCTAAATTAACAAATAAGACTACCAAGGAAATTCTAATAACTTTTGTTTACCAGTGTCTGCCTTCGCTCTGTAAACTTATGATGATTTCAGTGATATGGCAACATATGTTGTTTATAGCACACCCACCCCACATATTTAACATTTTATACATCCAGAATCATCTTAAATACTTCTACTTTACCTTCTCTGATAAATGGTTTGGCAAGATTTCTTTGGAAAATAATATTAAAGCTATAAATTATAAACTGGTAAGCAAAACCAAGTAGTACAAAAATGACTAAAAATTTGAATAATTTTATAAATCTTCAGACTGTTTATTGAATTTTCAAAGCATGTAGCTTAAAATGAACTTACTCCACGGAGCCTGCAATGTCTAGAACTTTCACACAAACTGTAATCAATCAAGTATTTAATCTCTCGACAGCTAAATCTTTCACATATCTAAAAGCAAAAGGAAGAGAAATGTAAAGTCTCAAACAATCAGATCATGCGTATTGGTACATAAGAAAAATTGAAGACCATCCCAGAATTCATATTACCAAGGATTGGCATAAAAATCCAAATAATAAAGCAATAGTGAGTACATTGAAATAAATGTAAAATAGGTTATTTATCTTCAGATTATAAAAATGCAATCATATATAAGGAGTTGAAGTTTTATTTTCTTATTGTCTAGTACCAGAAGTCCTCTTGGAAAGATAAATTTCTGGGAAAATAACTTGACTAGCGCCCTGAGGAACATTTTTTAAACGCCCATGCTGGGCTCCACCTGAGACCATTGCATGAAAATCCCTGGGGGCAGAGTCCAGGCAATTGTGAGCAGTCAGTGCGGGGCACTGTCTGGTGGGGAGTTCAAGTCTTACATCATCGGTATTAAGATACTCCCATACCCACATTTAAAATCACACTTAAACTATAGAACAACCATTATTCAGAACTGTCCTAAATCTGGCTGAATGGAAGTCCTGCCACTAGGGATGTAAGAGGTGGAGACATGGACCCAGCTGGTGCCACACCCATATGTGGTGAATAAATGTAGGGAGTGGTATCTCAACTGTGGAGGTCCCCGCAAGTAGCAAGAGGCCCCAGCCCCACCCCCGGCCTCCCAGGCAGGGTTGCAGTGCCAGGAGGAGAAAACCCCATAACTTCTAGCTGTGAAAACAAGCAGGAATTGTGGCTGAGTGAGACAGAGGGCTTCTGGAGTCCCAGGCGGTTTCCCTTTACCTGGTGGAGGTCACAGCTGATCGGACAGATACCAATCAAATCTTCCCTTAAATACTGTTACATATATCGGGTGCATAGGCTCAAGGTCATTACTAGCTTGAACGTTATGGCTTAACTTTCAAATCATACATTGGGTCACGTACAAATGCACCGGATGTATGCAACAAGTAACAATAGTTAAGAAAAGAGCTTGTTTGTATCTCCCAGATCAGCCACAACCTCTGCCAGGTTAAAGAGCCCATATTATTCAGACTCACTCCCTCTGAGCTCCAGTGCTGGTGAAGCAGCTTGAAAAAAACCAGGGACATACGGGGAGAAACTAAATTGTCTGGCATAGTAGTGAGAGCTGGGGGCAGGTGGGAGGCAGCCTACTGCCTCGCTAAAGTGCGAGCAGAGGCCATTGCTCCTTTTCTGAGACCAGCCCCTCCCACAGAGCTGGCAGGTGGGTGCCCTGTCTGCATCTCCATGAACATGGCCCTCACTGCTCACCCTACCCTGGTGATTCCCTGAGACCCTGCCCCACCCAACTTGCAGGCCCACCCAAGCCATTTCCAGTGACTTTTCCATACCAATGGCCTCCCTTGCCTCACGCTTTGGACTTCCCTAAAATTTCGCAAGCCAGCAGCATTTGGCCTCTGTATACCTTGTACCTCTTGCTAAGTGGCCCAAGGCCCAGCACTAGCAGCCACCAACCTTGGTTTGCAACTTGGCTTCTCCTGGGCACCTCCAAGCCCAGCACAAGCAGCAGCTACTGTCACTGTCAAGAGGAGCCTAAGCAGACACAACCAATAAATGCAAAGTGGTACCCTAGGTGCAGTCCTAGAGAAGGACATGAAGTAAGAGCTAAGGAAATCTGAATGAAGTCCTAGATTTAGTTAATAACAATGCCTCAACATCAGTCCTTTGATTATGACAAATGTATCAAAGGACTCATGGACAGCAGTGTGGTGATTGCTGGGGGTGGGGGAGATATAAGGGGGCTCAATGGTAATGGAAAAAGTACAATAAAGATTAAATAAAAAATAAATATTATCAGGTTTTTTCCTTGTCGGAGGCAAAGCCTCATTTTTGGCAATGGAAAAGGCTTCCGCAAGCTGCTCCGATGGATATCCTCCCAGCTTGGCTAATGCATTCTGTCAGAGCAGCAGGGACTTGATAGGGAGCTAAAGTAATCATTTCGGACAGACAACTAATGCTCTACCCGAGGCATTGACTTATGATAGGATTTGTTCTCTGCTAATGCCTTAAAAGTGATTGCTGATGACCTGATCTAAATGGCTAAAAAGTCCAAAAACTCCTTTTAAACTTAGAAAATTAATAGGTGGCACTCTCCCATAAGAGGGTGACTCTGTGAGGCCTCCACCAGGATAAAAAAGAAATGTATCATGCTAGTGTTAGATGTTAATAATAAAAGAAACTGGGTTTGTTGCTTGAAACTGGGCAAGTGGGCGAGAGGGAAGAGGTGATGCTTGTAAAATTGGATGTGGTGACGGTTGTGCAACTTCGTAAATTAATCAGAAACAATGAATCGTCCACCTATACCATAGGTAAATTTTATGGAAAAATTATACCTCAGTCAGGTTGTTTTAAAATGCATTGGTTGGCATACTGTCAAAATGAGTATAACCATAAAACAGTATTTAAAACACTTACCATCCCAGGACCACACGTAGAGCCATCTTCTACAAATGTTTTATCTCTGTCTTCAGGTGTACTATATGTTGTCCGTGTCTCTTTAAGTATCCTGTCCGTGTTTAGATACGTAGATACGCACATTTCTTCTCGTATATGTGTGTATACCACAGATAAATTTGCCCGTGACACCAATGCTTTATGTGGCCAGGCACAAACTAATTTTCCACACAGTATATTACTAGAAGCATAAGACATAAAAAAATTATCTTGTTATTAACATAGATTGTTGACACAGCTAAGGTAAAAACATATTTTACCAAATTAAATCCATGTTTCAAGAACTTCCTCTCAGTAAAGTTTTCAGAGCATACCAACATATGTATGATGTGGCTCTTTTTGTTTTATGAGGCAAGGTGGCAAGGGAAAAATTAATGATTTTTGCAATCTGATGGACCTAATCTTTCCTGTATTAGCTTCTGCTATTTAAGTAAATGGTTGCTGGTCTTCAGTTTTTTCATTGGTAAAAAACGGACTAACTCTTACTACAAATGTTTGATGTATTAAATATATTTATAATATAAACTGTATATAAACAACTTAACACAACATCTAGCTCATCACAGCAAAAAACAGAGACAATTTTCATGGTCATTGTTGTAACATTATAGGCTCATGTTATTTGTAGGCAATGGGTAAAAATGTTCTCAGATCATGAAACAAAGAAAACCTGGTATCAAATACTGTTTTAGTGAGTACATAATAATATATTCTAGGATCCTAACAGCATATAACCTACATCGCAAACAAATTAGAATTGTCTAAATACATACGGAAATCCACAATAGACTCTACCGCAGTTTCCGTATCTGTCTCCTAATGAATTCATTTCTTCAAAACAAGCAAATGGAGCACCTCTAGAAGCTAAAAGAAAAACTATAAGTAAATTATAACACATAATTCCTATTATCATTAAAGAAATAATAGACTCACTCTGGAAATCATAATGTGATCCCTAGGGAGATTTATAATTACCTAGCATTAAATAGCAGCTTGGGGTAGATCTCAGACTAAAATGAGATCCCCTCATTTTAAGCCTGCTAAGCTGTCCTGGGTACCACACAAAACAGGAGAGAAATAGCATCCATAATGAAATACTGAGAAGAAGCCCAAAGATCACTTAACTCTCCTTCTTCCATACTATATGCCTCATCTGTGTTCCCAAGCATCCTAACAATCACTAAATAAGAATTGTTGAATTTTAAAATTAGGAAGGACAACACTGTTTATCTCCGTAGGCCCTTTGATATATTTAGTTATGTCTAATTTTAAAATCATGAATAATTCAAATGTATATAATAGCTGCCTCATCACTTAGACTTGGTGATTTAGAGGTGCGTTGGGTTGATCATGATCATTCACATGCAATAAGAACAATCTTTTCTTGTCACCACTATAAAGTGACAAGTGAACTCCCTTCAGCAATTTCACATATTTTCATAGTTGGAGAACATTATCTAAGACTTTCACCATCTCTCCCAAAAGATATAATCCATACATGCACAGGGTGCTCCTAAACAGTCAAAAGAGGTCTGTGAGCAGAATTTCACCATAATCAGCCTTTTCTCTTTTGAATGGACCTACTCTTGAACTCACCCAGTAATTACCTTGTATTTGATTCACTCCAATCAAAATACTGTCATGATTAAATCTCATTTAAACATGTCAATTCTCCCAAATTCTATATAGGGCCAAGACTGGGATGATGGAAAATTTAACGGGGTAGAGGAACAAAAATATAATAATCAGATAACATCTTAATGCATTAAAAAAAATCAAACTTGATTGCAAGCAAAATCCATAATGAAAAAAACACTAAATTTTGGATAGGGACAGGTCATTGTCTGTTGTGTAAAACCCTGCCTTACAATGCCATTTGAACAGCCTTTCCAATCCACCTACACTTCCTGGAAGTGGCTTGGGAGCCACGTCAGGAAGCCACCACTCTGAACGTCCTCTACGGTGGGCTTTTTCTGCTCAACTTTTGAGGCTCAGAATGGCACATATTTCCACACTGTCTTCTTGACACCCAAGGCCCGCTGCCCTGGCAGACTTACTCCTGGCCAGAATTTCCCTTGCCTACCAAAACTGTGTCGCTGTACTTCCATCAGCTCCTTTTCCTGGGGCCTAGAGATTTAAGTATGTAAGTATCCATTTTCCTATTCTTGCCTACATTTGACAGGCTTTGAAATGAGGTCACCACGAACCCAAATGAACAAAGAAAGACAGTGATCAGAAGTTTGGGCCATTTTAGGACAGAAACTTGACACTCTTACTGCAGCACTTAAGTCAATGGAGTTCCCTGAACCCCAAGGGGGAAAGTTCGTTGAGGAACAATGCCAACCTCAGGTACTATCAGGAGCTGCAATGACCTGCTGTGGGTGGGAATGGTCTTGAAGGAGAGTCTGAGAAAGTAGTGGGATCAAGAGAATGAATTATTCACCTGGTAGGGCCAAATAAAGGCCAATCACTGACGGGTTTTGTTTGTTTGGGGGGTGTTTCTGCTTTTTTCCTATGTGGCTAGAAGACTATCTAGAAAAAGAAGGCATTTATTTTGTGTACGTTTATATACTTGTTCACCTTAGTTGTTAATCCCTTGCATTTTGGAATTCACAGTCTTTCCCATCACATTTTATTACCAGGGAAGGGCCACGATGGAGGTAGGCAGGTATTTACGTTTGTTTGTGGGTGAGGAAACCCAGTGTCCTGCACTTTGTGACATTGATCTCAATGCTCAAGAATATTACAAGCAGCTACTCCTAAGCTGTATGACTTAGGGGTTATCAGCAGCTGAAGTATCAAATATAACCAAAAGATAGCATCATTTTAGCTCCCTGTGATTATATATACGAGACAGGGAGAGAAAAGGTCTAATTCCATAAAATGCTTCCATGTAAAAAATACTCAAAGTGCCACCTGTCACTGGAATGGCTAATGGAGCTTAGGAATAGCAAAATATAATAAAACAGGCCCTGGAAAGGGGGCAGAGGGTGTGATAAACACACCTTCTGGTGTAAAATGGAAAGTGGTTGCAGCCCATTGGACACCTACTCTAGGATGCCCAGGCTGAAGCTATGAAGCCAAGTAGCACTGCTGATGGGAAAGGAAGTTGGGGCAGCTACTGTGGAAAACAGTATGGAGGTTCCTCAAAAACTTGAAAGTAGGACTAATGACATCCAGCAATCCCACTTCTGGGTATATGTTCAAAGGAATTGAAATCAGGATCTCAAAGAAACAACTGCATTCCCATATTCATTGCAGCCTGATTCATGATATCCAAGATATGTAAACAACATAAGGGTCCATAAACAGCTTAATGTAAAAGAAAATGTGTGTATGTATGTGTATATACAATGGAATAGAATTCGATCATGAAGAGAATGAATTCCTGCCATTAGACACAACATGGATGAATCTTGAAGACATTATGCTAAGTGAAATAAGTCAGACGGAGAAAGACATATCCCATAATATCACTTATATGTGGAATCAAAAAAAAAAAAAAAACAGACACAGAGAAACAAAGAATAGCATAGTGATTATTAGGGGCATTGGGTAGTGGAAATAGAGAGATATGGCCAAAGGGTAAAAAGTTCCAGTAACAGTATTTACAAGTTTTAAGGATCTAACGTACAGCATAGTGGTTATAGTTAATAAAACTGTATTATATACTTGAAAATTGCTAACAGAGAAAAATAAGATTTCTCACTACAAAAAAAAAGTGGCAAGTACATAACAGGATGAAAGTGTTAGCTAATCCTATGGTGGTAATCATTTAGCAATGTGTAAATGTATCAAGTAAACATGTTGTAACCCTTAAATTTACATAATGTCATATGTCAATTACATCTCAATAATGTAGGGGTGGGGGAAGATATTCTAGAGGGAGAAAGACACCAACAACATTATAGTGCAGGAAGTACTGGTCACCCCTTCCCTCACAAATGCATGGATTCAGCAATAATTCATAAAGAAATTCCCTTTCTAATGAACCTAAACAAGATGAAATTCTTTACTCTGGGAAAACACAAAACCAAACTTACCAGAGCCAGTAGGGAGATTCAGGACAACTTCTTGACGGAGACCTGATCTTGTCACAGTGCCTTTCAAGCAGGAAGAGACCATCTACCTCCTATTTTCATCCAGGAGAGGGAAGGGATTTATGTGCATGCCCAGGACCGACACACTTCCAGAGGGGCTGCCTAATGCCCAAAGATCTGGAATCTGCCTTGCCAATTACTGGAGCTTTGATGGATATGGACAGACTAGCTGCCCAGGAAGCAACTAGGGGTGGCAGCTTGAGCTGGTAGACACCAATGGTACCCCTCCAGCTCAACACACAGTGAGTGCATGAATAACCCCAGATCTCACTTTCCGCCTTGGGGTAGAAGAAAGAGTTGATCAATTTTTCCTAGAGCTCCTGGTACCAAACGGAAATCATGCAGCTTACAATAGACTAATTAAGCTGAAAAAAAAAAATGCACTAAAGGAGCTCAACAACAGCCTAGGTCAACCAGAAGAAAGGATCAATGAACTCTCAGAGCAGTCATTGAAATTTATTTAGTAAGAACAAACAAGATAAAAGAATGCAAAAGGGTAAAGAAAGCTTAACAGACTTATGGGGGAAAACCAAGGAGACTGATATATTCATGATGGGAGTTCCAGAAGGAAAAAGAAAGGGGGAAGGACCAGAAAGCATATTCAAAGAAATAATGGCTAAAAAGTCCCCAAATTAGAGGGAAGAAATGGACATCCAGATCCAGTAAGACCAAAGAAACTCAAATAAATTGAACCCAAAGAAATCCACATGAAGACACATCATAATCAAATTGCCAAAATTCAAACACAAAAAGAGAGTTTCAAAAGTAGAGAAAAAAGTGAGTTGCCACAATCAAGGGATCCCCTATAACACTATGAGTGGATTTTTCAGCAGAAACATAGAGTCCAGGGATTGGTGGGATAATATATTCAAAGTGCTGAAAAGAACAAAACTGCCAACAAAGAACAGTATCCAGGGCAAAACTACCCTTCAAAAATTAAGGAGAGCTAAAATCAGAAGCAGAAAGAGTTCATAACCAGTAGACCTCCCTTACACAAAATGCTAAAGTGAGTAACATCACCATTGTGGTGGCTTAGATATCCCTTCTTAAAAAAAAACCACATATATTTATTATGTATTAATAATTATTATGTATTATGTATTATTAAGCCCTTATATTTGGGGCCAGATAATTTTTGTTGCAGGGAATGTTCTTTGCCTTGTAGGACATTTAGTAGCATCCCTGATCTTACCCTCTAGAGACCAGTATCAGTTCCAAGCTAGAAAAAGCAAAAATGTCTGCAGGCATTATATCTGGTAAGCAAAGGTCAAGAATGCTTCTACGTATTCTGCAATGCACAGGACAATCCCTCTCACCCCCACCTCCCACAACAAAGAAATGTCTGGGCCTAAAATATCAATAATTCTGAGGTTGAGAAACCCAGATGTAACTGTTGGGTTAGTACTCACACACCTTTGGGAGCCACACAACTTTATTTGGTGACAGAGCTCCTTATTAATGCCTGTGACTTCAACTAATGAGATTTTCTACTTCCTAGAGAACAATCATCAGCACAAAATTAATGACAGAAACATGTTAACATTTATGTTATACCTAGAATAGGGAGTGTCTTTATGTGAAGGAATAACACTGAGGAACATGCTGTAGCTGCTAGACTTTTACAAAAACGAAATTTGGTAAAGAACTTAGAGAAAGGTAGTGTATGTCCATGTGAGGTATCTCTACTGATCTAATTTTTTAAAAGACTTAATGCTTAAATTCAAGGTCCTTTACCATATATTTCTCTACTTTGAATGATATTGCTTCAGGCAGAAGCTGTCTTTTAATATCACACGATAAGCATATTTTGTCCAGAAGCCAATAATTTGGTAGGATAATGATTTGTATTAGGTCTGTGGAAAAAGATTTTTATTGGTTGTTGCCTATAAAGCATAATACATGGTTTTTACATTGGAAAGCTCATGCCTACTTCAGAATTACATGAAACTCTCCTCAAGACATGTCTAGTACCTGGTGTCTATGACAGGCCTCCATAGATGACCTAATCAAAGAATTACAGTTAATTTGGATTGAAATACTGTGATTTTTGAGGACAAATTTTCAACAGCTGCCTATGGCCTCCAGGCTCTGTAGGAAGCTTAAAAAATGGGATTGTGTCTCAAAAATAAGTACAAAAGTTTACTGACAGCCAGGCCCAGACTTGGCTTGTCCTAGGTGCATTAACACAAGTGATCTTTTGGATTGGACAGATATTAATTCAAATCAAGATGCTTGGCTTTAGATGTTATACTTTCCTCCAAAAAGAAAATTGTACTACTTTTAGAGACAATTGTTGTACTTATTCACCTACAGTTTCTCACAGAGGGCTTTATAATCACCGCTAATGCTAAAGAAACAGTAAATAAGAAAAATTACCTGGGTAAAATGAACACCTAGCTCACATCTCACTATCTAACACTAAAAATATCAGGCCAGCACTTAGATTTACTTTCCTGATTTTATATGGGGAAATGTTGAATCTGGAACATACTTTTTTGTTTTTCCTGATTTTACTAGTAATTTGTTGTTATCTCAATTATGTTTTAAATACTATTCTAATGTAGCCACTGTCTTATAGATGGCACAACTATGATTCTAAAGAAAAGCAGAACAAAATTATAATAACTACCAAAACCTCTCATGTCCTTCTTAAGTTCCTGGCATCCACGTTGATCTGAGTTAGAATTTTCTCTTCTGACCTAAGGAGGGCCTAAAGAGAGGCCTGAGAATAGAAACATTTCTCTCTCTCAAAATATATAAACTGCATACATGCAGGAAACTGTATAGTGTTTCAATAAAGCTGCTGACCCACACAGTTATAGGGTAGCTCTCACACTGGACTAAGTTGGCCAAAGCCCTCACTCTTCAGCAAGCCTCACTGAACAGACCCTTCTTTGAAGTCCAGTGATCAGTGATTAGCCCTGTTCCATTCTAGTAAAAACCTTTTTTTTCACTTAAATCTAAACTGAACTCCACCACTTCAAATTCTATATAACATTTTGAGAAGCTGCATTTCTACTGGAGGATTCTTCCATGTGCAAATAAGAATTCCATATAAGTCCAAGGAGTTTTTTCATTTGTTTTACATCATCAAGAAACTTTTATTTCCTTTAATAATAATATACGGTAGGCAAGACTTAACTCATTAAGAAATTACATCTACATTTTTGTTTGGGAGAACTGAATAACAGAGCTTGCATAATTTAGGAACTAGGAAGAAAATATGACCATTACCTCCTCCAATTAAGTTTCTACACTGTTTATCGAATGTCCGACATCTTCCTTTATAACAGTGGGCTTCACCTGAATTACAAGAGTGTCCATCTTGTACAAAAGTGTCAGGCACACAGTGTGAATCAAGTCCATTGCAATAGTCAGTAAAATCACATTCATCAACTGATTTCCTACAAAGTGTACCAAGTGGTTTTAGCTAGAAGGGAAAAGAAAAATAAGATTACATATCAATGATACTCAAGTTTTCTTTCTCTTCAGGCTTTGCATTGTTATCCAATTTTTCTAAGTTGCTAAGATGAATGAAGAAATTCTTCCCCTTAACTACTGAAACATTGCCTAAAAACTGAAGTGATTGAACTTAATGTGCATAAATGAGTGGATAATACTTCTGAGAGATGTGATAAAGTCAAAGGTAGTCAGACCTCCATAATTATTAAAACGAAAGAAAGACAATAGAGCTAAGGAATATAAAAATTACTTGCAACCCAGTTATGGCTATGCTCCGATATGCAGCCCTTGGTTTCTTCATGTACCATCCTTAGAGCAGATACTAGCAACCATTTACAAAACAGAAAATACACACTATAATCATTTAGAAAAAAGTTTGTAGATTTTAAAAGAAGAAAAGTTAAGGAAACAGGAAGTTCATTTCACATACCACATTGCTAACAACGGTAAATAAAGTAACTTCTCTAATCCCATATCGCTGATCTCTTCAGTGCTTACTCTTTTTAGCTGATAGCTTCCGGGGCTCCCTTTCAGTATGCCTGCTTTTGCCAAGAAATGTGGAGCTTTCATCACAGCAAATCCTTCTTCAATTCAAGCCCCATTTCTCAAGGCTATTATCATTAACCCATGCAAACTAAATCAAATCTGTGCGAGCTTTCCGAGATCCAAGGGGCCCGGCTTATATAAAGTTCACACATATCCCCTCCCCCAGAATAAGTTTTCTATATACTTTTTCTCATGTTTTCAACATGCATTTGCTACCCAAATTTTTCAAGTGATGGATATGAAGACAAAATACAACACATATGGGGTGAACAATCAAATCAAAACCAGCAATCAAAATTGTTGATAAAGGAAAATACACATAAATACAATGAAAAAGTGTTACCACTTGTTTCTTGAGAATATGTTTCCTTTTGTAAATAAGCATAAATGGCAATTTTAATGTTATTTTAATTTCATTTGCTATAAAGACCACTTTCTACAGCAGTTGAAGTATCACAGAAAATATGAGGGGAAAGTACAGAGATTTCCCTTTTAACCCCTGTCTCACACATGCAAAGTTTGCCCCATTACCAACCCCTCCTACCAGAGTGGTGTACTTGTTACAAATGATGAGCCCACATTGGAGAACTATAGAGGGTAAGAATAACAGTTTCACTTTACCCACATCACCCCTCATTCAAGCTGCCACCGCTGAATCCCAACAGAAACCCTCTTGGCTTGTGGCTTCTCTGACAGGGACAGTGGAAGTTATATGAGAGGCTAATTTCCCCAGTCTTAGAGACACTACCCAAGAGGGCCATTATTGTCCTTCCCCACCCAGAACACTCAGGAAATTGGTACAGGTGGACACTTGGGAACACCTAGGAATAGGGAAAAGGAACGCGGTCTCATAGCAACCAGTAGGTAGATTACAACAAACAACCCTATATCTTATTAACTTTCTCAGGACTCCACCAAGAGCCCCAGTCATGAACCAGTAGGATCCCTTCAAATGAGGACATCCACAAGTAGCCAAAAGACACCTCTAGCACTCCAAGCCCATGCTCTAGAGCTGGCACCCGCTCTCCCCAGCCAGTGGGTGCACATCGGCCATCAATAGTGTACATAATCCTGCACTCAGCACATGGATATCAGCGGCTGGTTTGACTCTCCTGAATGAGGAGAAGTTAGACAACCTTGAACAATTCAGGGCACTGCCTTAGAGAAAGCAATGGAAGGCTCTCTGCATCTAGACTGGATTTGAGAGATTGAGAGAAAGCACACAATCCTAATTTCTCCACAATGATGGAATAAGATAAGTAGAGTAAATATACACATTGAAAAGATCTGATAGACCCCCAAAACCATCTGGGCAGACTTGATGACCGGCTTCTTAATCATTTTAATCTTCTGAATCATTTTAAACTCAGTAGGATATAAGAGAGAACAGATAGACAAATATATAAAAATCAGGAATACAATACATGAATAAAATGAGAAATTTAACAAAGAAAAACAGCTTTTCAAAAGAACCAAACAGAAATTCTGTACCTGAATAACAAATGGCTAAACTGAAAAATTCCATATAAAGAGTGTCAAAAGTGCAGTTGATCAAGCATAAGAAACAATGGACTTGAAAACAGTCATTTGAAATTATCCATTCAGAGAACCAAAAAAATAAAGAAAACTGACAGTACCTGTGAGACACCATCAAAGGAAACAATATAGGCATTATTGGAGTCCTAGAAGGAGCAGAGGAAGAAAAAGGAGCAGAAGCTTATTTAAAGAAACAATGACAGAAAATTTCCCAAATCTGGTAAGGGAAATGCATGTAAAGCCAAAAGAACTCTAAATAGATCGAACATAGGGAGGTCTTCAAAAGACACATTACAAATAAACTGTCAAATGTCAACCACAATGAGAACATTTTGAAAGCAGTAAAATTGATTATTGCAAAAAAGGGATCCCATATGAGACTATAAGTAGATCACTCAGCAAAAACTTTGCTGGCCGAGAGAGAGTGAGATGACATTTTCTAAGTGCCAAAAGAAAAATCACTTTCCAACCAAAAATACTGTAATCAGTAAAGATGTCCTTCAGAAATGAAGAAGAGATAAGATTTCCCCAGAAAAACAAAAGTTGAAGGAGTTCATTGCCACTAGACCTGTCTTTTAAAAATGCTAATAAGGGTTCTTCAAATCAAAATTAAAATATGCTGATTATCAACATGAAAGTATAAAAATCACTGGTAATGGTAAGTATAGTGAAACTCAGAGTACTGTAATACTGTAAAGTGCTAGTATGGAAATCATCTTAACTCTAATATAAAAGTTAAACAGCAAAAGTATTAAAAATAACTAAATGATATTTGTCTTTCACCGCCTGGTTTATTTCACTGAGCACAATACTCTCCAGTTAATACCACCTATAAGTGGAACCTAATCAACAAGCCAAAAAGAGAGCAAAATAGAACCAGAGACATGGAAATGAAGAACAAACTGACAGTTACCAGAGGGGAAGGGGGAGGGAGGTAATGGGGGAAAGAAGGGGAAGGGTCATCAAGGAACACGTATAAAGGACCAACGGACAAAGACAACGGGAGGGGAGGATTGAATGTGGGAGGTGGGGGTGGGTAGGGCAGGGGAGAGTAATGGGGAAAAATGGGGACAACTGGAATTGAACAACAATAAAAAAAAAGTAAAATCACAATAAAAAGCGCAAAAAATAAATAAATAAAAACTAACATATAACTTACAAACAATATTGCACAAAAGTCTTAAGTGTACATCTTAATAAATTTTTAAACATGTATATACTGACTACCCAGATGAAGAAAGTTATTAGCACCCTGGAAGGTTCCTTTTTGCCTCCTTCCAGTCCGTGCAAACAGCCCATGCAAAATGTAGCTCCTATTCCTTTTCTATGGCCAGAGGTTATTGTTGCCTGACCTTGACCTTCATATTAAATAGATAAATAGGAGGCCAATGCCTTATACATTCAACACAACCCCTATTAAAATACCAATGACGTATTTCACAGACATAGAACAGATATTTCAAAAATTTATATGGAACCATAAATGACCCCAAATAGCCACAGCAATTCTGAGAAAGAAAAACAAAGTAGGAGAGATCACAATACCGGACATCAAGCTATATTACAAGGCCACTGTAATCAAAACAGTCTGGTACTGGCACAAGAACAGACCCATAGATCAGTAGAACAGAATAAAAACCCAGAAATAAACCCATGTCTCTATGGTCAATTAATATTTGCCAAAGGGGGCAGAAGCATAAAGTGGAGTAAAAACAGCCTCTTCAACAAATGGTGTTGGGTGAGCTGGACAGCTACATGAAAAAAACTTAAATTCGATCACCAACTGACACCATACACAAAAATAAACTCAAGATGGATAAAGGACTTAAATATAAGTCGCGACACCATAAAAGTCCTAGAGGAGAACATAAACAGGAAGCTCAAAAACCCCATGCAGCAATGTTTTCACCAATATACCCTAAAGCAAGGGACATAAAGGAAAGAATAAACAAGTGGGACCTCATCAAAATAAGAAGCTTCTGCATGGCTAAAGAAAGCATCAGCAAAATGAAAAGGGAGCCAACCGTATGGGAAATATATAGTTGCCAATGATACATCAGATAGAGGTTTGATCTCCAAGATATATAAAGAACTCACACAATTCCACTCCAAGAAGACAAACAATCCTATTAAAAAATGGGCAAAGGACCTGGACAGACACTTTTCCAAGGAAGAGATACAGAGGGCCCAGAGACACTTGAAAGGATGCTCAGCATCACTAACCATCAGAGAAATGCACATTAAAACCACAATGAGATACCACTTCACACTGGTCAGAATGGCCATCATAAAGAGATCAACAAACAGGTGCTGGCGAAGCTGTATAGAAAAGGGAACCCTAGTACACTGTTGGTGGGAATGCAGCCATTGTGGAAAACAGTGTGGAATTTCCTTAAAAAGCTAAAAATGGAACTGCCTTTTGACCAAGTAATTCCCTTGTTGGAACTATTCCCTAAGAACCCCAAAACACCAGTTTCAAAGAACCTATGCACCCCAATGTTCATAGCAGCACCATTTACAATAGCCAAGTGTTAGAAGCAACCTAAATGCCCATCAGTAGATGATTGGATCAAAAAATATGGTGACAAATTTATTTGAACAAAAAACAAAAATTAAAAGGAAAAAATAAATAAATACATCATAGAACATGTAATATTCTGTTCTTCCATATCCCATTATTTATTTATTTATTTACCCATTTTTCTTTTGATAGACATTTGGAGTTTCCCATTCCAGGGCTTTCCGAATCAAGCTATGTCTGCGAACATTCTTGTACATAGAGACTCATTTTTGTTGTGTTCACACTTACAAATGGAAATGCTGAATCACAGAGTACCGATATGTTTACAATGAAATTTCGTGGAGAGTCAGTTTTTCAAAGTTTTTGCCCCACTTATATCCCACTAACAATCTATGCAAGTTTCAGCTGTGTCACATCCTCTCTGTCACTTGATATTGTCAGCCCTTTCAGTTTTAGCCATTTTGGTGGGGCTGTAGTGATATCTACACTACAGTGGTTTGAATTCTTGCTCAAATGATGCCTGTACATGATGTTCAATGTCTTGTTAATATTTATTGTCTATTTTAATATATGAACTGCCTGTTCAAATATTTTGCTCATTTAGTAAAAAAGTAAAAATAAAATTGGATTGAGTTTTAAAAATTAAAATAGCTAGAGCTGTAATAATTTGTTCATGGATACACAATATAAAACCATATTAAAATATATGAATAGCATAAAATTTTGGGGAGAAGTAAAGGTGCCAAGTTTTTGTATGAGATCAAAGTTATCAGCTTAAAACAGACTATTATAACTCTAAAGTGTTTAGTGTAGTCTGGGTAGTAATTATAAAGAAAATACAGGTAGTTGATACAAAAAAGATAAAGACCAATGAATCAAAGCATATCACCATAAAAAAAATAAACAAACCACAACAGACAATAAGAGAGAAAAATGAGAAAAAAATATTACAAAAAAGAGAAAAGACCAATATGGCAAAAGCAAAAAAGGGAAAGTGGTGGCAGGAAAATGGAGCGAGTGTATTTCAACAGTAAAAATAAATAAATTTTAAAAAGGTAAAAATCTAACTATATGCTACCTGTAAGATACTCACTTAAGCTTTCAAGAAACACACACACTAAAAATGAAGGGATGTAGGAAAGCAATTGGCAATCAGAAAGAGCAGGGAGGGCTACATTTACATCAGATAAAATAGATGTTAGGTCAAAAACTGTCACATGAGCAAAGAAGATTATTAATAATAAAGGGGTTAATTCATCAAGGGAATATAACATTATAAATATATGTGCACTGAACATCAGAATACCTAAATATACAGAGAATATATAATTATAATTGAAGAGATAGTCACCAAAGAACCAAAACAGTAATAAATTAAATAGAGATGATAAAAATGATAAAAAAAATCCATGAAAGTAAAAACATCCATGGAAAGATAAAATTGACAGACCTTTAGCTGGGCTAACTAAGAAAAAATAGAAAAGATATAAGTTATAAATAAAAGGGTGACATTATAACAGATACCATAGAAATACAAAATATCATGAGACAACAAGCATATGTTAATAAATTGCATAATCTAGAAGACACACAAATTCCTAGAAACAAACTAACAAGATGAAATCATAAAGAAAAGAGAAAGTCAGAATAAACCAGTAATGATTAAGGAAACTGAATCAGTTATCGAAAACCTTGCAACAAAGAAAAGTCCATGATTAGATGGGTTGTCACGTGAATTCTAACATTTAAGAAATAATTAATGCAAATCCTTCTCAATTTCTTCAAAAAAAATTGAAGAAAAAGAAACACTTCCAAATGCATTTTAAAAGGTAAGATTTACCATGATACCAAAGTCAGACAGAACATTACAACAAAATAGAACTATACACCATTGTAGTAGCTTGACCTGATGAACAAGCCTGATGAACACAGATGCAAAAATTCTCAGCAAAATACTAGCAAACCAAATTCAACTGCACCGTAATAGGATCATGAACCATGATAAAGTGAGATTTTATCCTTAGAACGCAAAGATGCTTGAACATATGCAAATCAATAAATGTTATACACCATTTTAGTATACTGAAGGATAAACACATGATCACCTCAATAGATGCAGAAAAAGCATGTGACAAAATTCGGCATATTTTCATGATAATTTATCAGTCATTTTTACATAGAAGGGATGCACCTCAACATAATAAAGCATGCATATGACAAATCCATAGCTAACATGACAAGGGTGCCCTCTTATACCACATCAATTGAACTTAATACTAAAGTCCTAGTCAGAGCAATTAGGCAAGAAAAAAATTAAAGGCATTCAACCTGGAGGGTAAGAATTCAACACATCTCTGTTTGAAGATTACAGTTCTGCTAACACAGAAAAATCGAGGAGGCTAGAAGACGGCAGCCGAGTAGGGGAAGCCAAGCCCACTTGCTTCTGCCCCCAACACAGATTTTCAGCTGATCTTCTGACAGGCGACCTGATCAATCTATAGAACCTCAGCTGACATGAAGAAAAAAATTGTGTCAGCAGATGACATAATCATATATATAGAATATCCTAAAGAAGCCACACAAAAAAAGAACTGAGAAAAAATTCAGTAAAGCCACAGGATATAAAATCAGACTATAAAAATATCTGCATTTCTATACATTTACAACAAAATGTATGAAGAAGAACTTTTTAAAATCCCATTTATGATAGTATCAGAAAGAATAAAATACTTAGGAATAAGCTTAACCATGAAGGTAAAAGATGTGTCCATGAAAAACTATAAGACATTGATGAAAAAAATTGAAAGATACAAGTAAATGAAAAGATATTCTGTGTTCATGGATAAGAATTAATATTATTGCATATCCATACTACCAAAGAAACCTCAAAAAATTAAAAATAGAACTAACATTGATCCAGGGATCCCATTTATAAGTATGTATCTGAAGGATATAAAATTTTCATGGGACATGTGTACCTCCAGGTTCACTGCAGCATAACACAGAAGAGAGAAGACATGGGAACAACTTAAATTTTCATCAGTGCATGAATGTATTTCTAAAATGTAATATATATACACTGTGGAATAACATTCACTCATGAAAAGAAGGAAAATATGCCATTTATGACAACACAGATAAAACCTGAGAGTATTATTCTAAATGAAATAAGCCAAACAAGAGAAAGACAAATACTTTATGATCTCATATGTGGAATATAATTTTTTTTAATTTTATTTATTTATTTTTAGAGAGGAGATGGGAGGGGGGAAGGGAAACATCAATGTGTGGTTGCCTCCTGCGTGCCCCCTACCGGGGACCTGGCCCACAACCCAGGCATATGCCCTGACTGGGAATCGAACCTGCGACCTTTTGGTTCTCAGGTCAGCACTTGTTCCACTGAGCCACCCAGCCAGGGCTCGTATGTGGAATATATATTTTTTTAAAAAACACCCAAACTCACAAAAAAAAAAAAAAAAAAAACCAGAATGATAGTTGCCAGATGCAGCAGCAAGGTGGGGAAAATAGGAAGATGTTGGTCAAATGTACAAATTTTCAACTACAAAATGAATAAGTCTGGGGGTCTAATTTACAGCATAGTGCCTATAGTTAACATTAATGTATTATATATTTGAAAGTTGCTAAGATAGTAAATCTTAAGTCTTCTCACTATATTAAGTGGTAGATGTGTTCACTGATTTTATGTGGTAATTATTTTGCAATATATACTTATACAAAAACATTATATGTATAAACATAGCATTACATGTCAATTATATCTCAGAAAAGCTGGGGGAAATTTTTTAAAAGATAAAAGGATACTCTTTCTGCAATCTACAGACATTTGCCTTTAACCTTGTTCAAGAGCCCTTCCTTCTTTCCTTCCTTGCTTGCTTCCTTCCTTCCCTCCCTCCCTCTTTCCCTTCCTCCTTCCCTTCCTTCCTTCCTTCTTTCCTTCCTTCCTTCCCCTCTTTCCCTTTCTTCCTTCTTTCCTTCCTAGGATTGCAGTGAATAGTACTGGACATGGGACAATCACTCAGGAATTCTTTAAATGCTTTCAAACATTTAAACAGGTATTTAAACAGGTATTGAATGATTGCAACAAAAACTGAATGAATTACAAAGGAACAGAGGACTTTACCAGAAGATAATGAAGAAAATTTAGCCAACAAAAGGAGCAAACCTAACTTTCTGACTTTACATGGGTAAGGTAGGGTATTAGAAAATAAGACCTTAAGAGGGTTGCTCCAGGTGTATGTCCATCATTGAGAAATCTCAGTGGTTACAAGAAAGATTTGTAATGAGGTCAAGTCAGGAGGGAAGCATTGGGTATTATGTCCATGAGAGTTCTGTCAAAGATAGATGGCTCAATGGACTGAAGTGGGAGAGCGGGTCCAATGCCACCTAGATATAACACAATGAGAAGGGCGAAATACGTTTTCCATCTTATTTAAACAAAAATCTCACCAGATTAATTCTGAGCTATATGAAACACAGATGGCCTCTTACCTTGCAATCTTTTGTGCAGCATTCCCCAGAACCACACTGTTTCTTACGTTTCAATCGACAGGATGTAGCATCACAGCAGGATTTATGTGTACAAGTCTGTAAATAAATGCTGTTACTGAATCACATATGATTAGCTACTATCAAATAAAACTACAACTCAGAATTTCTTTATAAATTCTGAAGCTTTTCTTAAATTCCCAGTTTTAGTAATCCCATTCTTTATATGACATTTATAGATATCAGTATCTTATTCACTAGTTTGTAAAAGTGTGTTGTTTCACTACATTCCATATACTCAGAACAATATTAGCATACTACTGTGAGGCCAAACCTTAGAGGAAATACTTACCAAATACCTTGCTACCTACCATTCTCTTCAAAATTTTTCTTATACTCTTGCTTTTATAATTGATTGTATAATCCAAATCTGTTCACATACAGAACTTCTTTGATGTGAAGTTATCAAAAGCAACATTCTTCTCTTCTCTAGAATGGCAAAATCTCCAAAACCAACCTTAAAAAAAAAAGTGGTCCCAGAGGCCAGGATCATCCATTCAGACCTCAGATTTCACTGGGATGCTGCCCTATAGATACTTGTATTTTGTAAGATTCAGTATCTTCAGTCCAGCTTTTCTAGTCCTCAGGAGCAAGTTTGCCCCAAATTATGTAGTCTATCAGTATCAGATGTTTCTTTCTAGGTGATGTATTTGTTGTTTTTGGTAATTTCTTATTGCTATTTCCAATGAATAGCTTGACCATATGCAGTACTATACTTTTAAAAAGTTATTTATGAGATCCAAGATGGTGGAGGAATAAGTGGAAACTACACTAACCTCCTCCCAGGACCAAACTGGAATTACGTCTAAATTGAAGAAAACTCATCCTGAATACCCAACTGAACTCTAACTAGAGAGAAGCCTTATAACCAAGGACATAAAAAAAAACACACCACCAAAACAAGACTGGTAGGGAGTGCAGAGGAGGCGTGAGACAGCTAGCTGGGCTCCCATGGGCAGCAGCTGAAGTTCTGGCAGTACATTCCAGTGGCTGGGGATTCCCCCAAGAAGTGTGAAGTGTAAACTCCAAGCTGGGCTACCCAACCTGCAGCACCAGAGCCAGGAAAGGAGCCTAAGAATATCCAGTTGTGAAAAGCACCAGGGTTTCTGTCAACCAGGGAGAGACAGCTGGAGATATAGAGAGCCCCTTAAAGAGCCAATGCACAAAATTTTGTTTGCAGCCACTTATCCTGGGCTCCAGCAGAAGGAGGGCAGAGTGGACTAGAGATGCGTCAGGAGAGTCTGGGGCTAGTGGCTCTGGAGAGAGAACTGAAAGAACAGCTGCCAGGATGCCTATGTTGAGTCATTTCCCTTATGGCAGAAGCCATCATTCACAAGAACAACCCCCTCCAAGGGGCATCAGCCTGAGGGGGAGCAGTAGCCCTGCCCACGGGAATTACTCTGCTCAACCCTGTAGAATTTATGCCAGGTCACCAAGAAGTGCTTCTGGAGGTTAATCTGTATGACTAAATTTAACAATTGAGGTGGATCTCTGGGAGCTCTAAGGCTTCAGCTGATCTACTCCTGGGACTGGGTGTGGGAAAAAGTCAGCCATGGTCCATAGCCTGGTTCTTTTGGCACACAAGCAGGCCCAACAGAGGGAGCCACAAGCTGTGGATTGCTGACAACTCCAAATAGGTTGCCCAGGGTCAGTCACAGGCAGTGTCTGATGTAGCTTTGCACCAGAGACTTTGCTCACCTATCTAATACATAGAAACAAACACAAAGAGGTGGCCAAAATAGGAAGACAAAGAAACAGGTCCCAAATGAAATAACGAGAGAATCCTCCAGAAGAAGAACTAGATGAAAGGGAGGCAAACAATTTATCAGACAGAAGTTTAGAGTAATGATATGAGTACCCAGAAGCATGAAAAAAGACATAAAAACAATAAAAAGGGCCAGATATAAATAAAGAATGCATTATCTGAAATAAGTAATACACTGGAAGGAATAAACAGTAGGTTATATGAAGCAAAGGATCAAATCAGTGATTTGGAAGACAAGGTAGAAAAAAATACACAGGCAGAGCAGCAAAAAGGGAAAACAATTAAAAAGAATGAGGAGAGATTAAGAAACCTTTGGGACAACATGAAGCATAACAGCATCTGTATCATGGGACTACCAGAAAAGGAAGCGAGCAAGGGATCAAGAACCTATTTAAAGGAATAATAACTAAAAACTCCCTAGTCTGGTGGAAAAAAGACACACAAGTCCAGGAAGTACAGAGTTCCAAACAAGGTGGATCCCAACAGGCCTATACTAAGAAACATAATAATTAAAATGACAAGGCTTAAAGACAAGGAGAGATTGTTACCTACAAGGAAACTCCAATTAGACTGTCATCTGATTTCTCAACAAAACATTTGAAGCCAGAAGGGATTGAAGTATCCCAGGTGATGAAAAGCAAGGACCTACAGCCAAGGTTATTTTACCCAGCAAGGCTATCATTTAAAATTGAAGGAGAAATAAAGAGTTCCCCAGACAAGAAAAAGTTAAAGGAGATCGTTAACACCAAACCAGTACTGCAACAAATGTTAAAGGGCTTGCTTTAAGAAGAAGAAGAAAAAAAGAGAGAAAGAACAAACAGAGGAAAATGGTTTAAAAATAAAATGGCAATAAATACATATCTATCAATAACCACCTTAAATGTAAATGGCTCAAATGCTTCAACCAAAGACACAGGGTAGTTGAATGGACAAGAAAACAAGACCCATATATATGCAATCTCCAAAAAACCCACCTCAGATCAAAAGATACACACAGACTAAAAGTAAAGGGATGGAAAAAGGTATCTCATCCAAATGGAAAGGAACAAAAAGCTGGGGAAGCAACCCTTAAATCCAACAAAATAGACTTTAAAACCAAGGCTATAGTAAGAGACAAAGAAGGATACTCTATAATGATAAAGGGAACAATCCAACAACAGAATAAAACCAGAGTGAACATTTACACATGCAGCATAGGAACACCTAAATAGGTGAAGCAAATCTTGAGGGACATAAACCATGAGATCAACAGAATACAGTCATAGTAGGGTAGCCATACCCCACTGACTTCAGAAGACGGATCTTCCAGACAGACAATCAACACGGAGACAGTGGAATTAAACTACACCCTAGAGCAAATGGGTTTAATTTATATGTTGAGAGCATTTCACCCCAATACAGCAGAATATACACACTTCTCAAGTGCACATGGAACTTTTTCTAGGATAAACCACATGTTAGGGCACAAAACAAGTTTCAATAAATTTAAGAACACTAAAATCATATAAAGCATTTTCTATGACCACAATGCTATGAAACTAGAAATCAATCACAAGAACACTGAAAAATACACAAAGGCATGGAAGCTAAATAATGTTATTAAACAATGAATAGGTCACCAACAAGATCAAGGAAGAAATCAAAAGACACCTTGAAACAAATGAAAATAAGAATACAACAACCCAAAATCTGTGGGACATAGGGGAAGCAATCCTAAGAGGGGACTTCATAGCATTACAGCCTATCTCAGAAAATAAGAAAAAGCTCAAATAAACAATGTAACTTTACACTTAAAGGAACATTAAGATGAACAGCAAAGAAAGCCCAAAGTCAGTGGAAGGGAGAGATAATAAAGATCAGAGCAGAAATTAATGAAATAAAAACTAAAAAAAGATACAAAAAAATCAGTGAATCCAGGAGCTGGTTCTTTGAAAAGATAAAGAAGACTTACAAACCTTTAACCAGATTCATCAAGAAAAATAGAGAGAGGACCCAAATAAATAAAATCAAAAATGAAAGAGGAGAAATAACAACTGACACCAAAGAAATATAAAGGACTGTAGGAAAACATTATGAACAACTATATGCCAACAAACTGGACAACCGGGATAAAATGGATAAATTCCTAGAAACATACAATCATCCAAAACTAAATCAGGAGAATCTGAATAGACAAATTACACCTAGTGAAACTGAAGCAGTAATCAAAAAATTTCCAACAAACAAAAGCCCTGGATCAGATAGCTTCACAGGTCAATTTTACCAAACATTCCAGGGAGAAATAACCTCTCCTTCTCAAACTATTTCAAAAAATTCAAGAGGAGGAAAGGCTCCCAAACTCATTTTACAAGGCCAGCATTATACTAATTCCAAAACCAGATGAATACACTACAAAAACAGAAAACTGTAGGCCAGTATCCCTGACGAACATAGATACTAAAATCCTCAACAAAATATTAGTAAATCAAATACAGCAAAACATAAAAAGATCATACACCATGTTCAGGTGGGATTTATTCCAGGAATGCGAGGTTGGTACATCATTTGCAAATCAATAAATGTGACTCACCACATAAACAAAATGAAGGATAAAAATCATGATGATATCAATAGATGCAGAAAAAGCATTTGGTAAAATCCAGCACCTATTTATGATAAAAACTCGCAGCAAAGTGGGATTAGAGGAAACATACCTAAACATAATAAAGGCCATATATGGCAATCACCATCATACTCACTAGGAAAAAACTACAAGTGTTCCCGTTAAGATCAAGAACAAGATAAGGATGCCTTCTTTCACCTCTCTTAATCAGCATAGTACCAGGAGTTCTAGCCACAGCAATCAAACAAGAAGAAGAAATAAAAGGCATCCAAATTGGAAAGGAAGAAGTAAAACTGTCTTTATTTGCAGATAGCATGATACTGTACATAGAGAATCCCAAAGGTTCAAAACTACTAGAACTGATAAATGAATTCAATAAAGTAGCAGGGAGTTATAAAGTGGTTAAATAGTAATAGAAAAATACAATTAAAAAAGTGAATAAAGCTGAGCCATGGAGAGTGGAAAAAGAAAAAGAAATAGTGGTAACTGCAAAAAAAAAAAAAAAGTCTCATATATTGACTCATGTATTCAAACTTTAAATATTCTTTTGGTAGCTTTTGAAAATACTGTGACTTTTAATCAAATATGTGGTTATCCTCTTATTTTTTACAATACACTTTGTGAAAGCAAATCTTCTTAAGAAAAATAGAACCTTCTATTCCAAAATGGTTCCTTTTACCCTATCTTCTTTACAAAGCATGAGAATATTTTTCTCCAATATTCATTGTGACAACCAGTTTGAGCTCCTAGAGGTAAAACTCACAAAAGTGTGGGCAAGCCTCCCTATGAATGGGTCCCCCTGGAATTTTTAACTATCAGAGTTGTCCACACTGAGCCTCCAGCAATTCATCAACTATAGTTCAGGTTTTCCCAATTCCCAAAAGGGTTCAGTTTGTGGGCTGCTACTCCAGTAAACTGTGATTCTGTTACTTGCTTATCTGTCCTTCCATGTAAGGGGGTGGGGCAGTGATTTGCTCTAATACCTCATCTCTCTGATGGATCTAAGAAGTGTTGTTGCTTCCTCAATTTGTTAAGCTTTTGTTGTAAAGACTTAATGGTGACTTCTTAACTACTCACATGTCAGACCAGAAACCACAATACTTAAGTGTCTTTTTGTATTTTTTAAGTGGCTCTTGAATATTTTTACATATATTCATATGCATCTGAATATACATGCATCGTAAATATTGTCTCCCTTTCTGGAGATTGCCATTTTATTTTTCTTAACAGTATAAGAGGAAAAGTTTCTAAATTTGATGAAGTACAATTTATCATTTTTTAAACCTCATTCTTATTGGCCATGTCTAAGAAATTTTTGCCTACCACGGGGTCAAAAGATTGTCTCCCACATTTTATTCTAAAAGCTTTAGAATTTTAGCTTTTATATTTAGGTCTTTGATCCATTTCAAGTTAATTTTTGTGTATGGGGAGAGTCAAGGTTTATTTCGTTTACATGGATATCCAATCCAGTTCATACAACACCTTTGTCAAAAAGATCTTCTTCATCCATTGAACTGCCGTAACAGAATGGCAGAAAATCAATTGACCATATACACATTATTTTATATCTGGATTCTCTATACTATCCCAGTAAGGTATGTATTCATGCTCTGGCCAATACCACATTGCCTTGATTGTTGTAGCTTTAAAAAAATCTTGAAATTTAAAGAAGATTAATGTATTAATGTATTTCTAAAAAAAAATGCTTTGTCCTTTGCATTTCCATATTCATTATAGTACAGATTATCAACTTCTACAAAAAGATGGGTGAGTTTGGGTTGGGATTGTTTTGAATAAATGTATCGGTTTATTCAGCACTGACATCTTATCAATATTGCGTCTTCCATTCCATGAAAGTGGATATGTCTTCATTCAATCTTCTTTCATTTGCTGAGCTATGTCAGTTTTTACTGTATAGGTCTTGCAAATATTTTGCCAAAGGTATCTATATATTTCACATTTTTTAAACAATGTTTATGGAATTGTACTTTTTATTTCATTTTCCATTTTTTTATTGCTTACATTATAAATTCAGTTGAATTTTGTATACTGCCCTTATATCTAGTGACTTGAATTTACTAATTAATTTTAGTAGCCTTTTGGAGGAAGGTTGCTTAGTATTCTCTAGTCCTGTGACCAAGTTGAGTTTGACTCAAGATAGTTTTACATCGTCTTTTCCAATCATTATATGCTTCTTCATCTTACCTTACTACAATGACTGTAACATCTACTACAATGTTAAATGGAAGAGATGAGAGTGAACATCTTTCCTTTGTTCCAGGTATTTGGAGAAAACAGTGAGTCTCACCAGTAAATATGATGATAGTTGTAGGTTTTCAGAGACATTCTTTATTAGAGTTAGGAGGTTCTTTTCTATTCTTAAAGCTCTGATAGTATAAGTAAATTGGTGCTAAGTTTTCTTAAATGGTTTTTTCTTCATATATTCTATTATGTTGAATTAAAATGATTTTCTTTTTCTAAAATGTAAAAATGTGTTTATTCACAATCCTTGAGAAGTTTCATATCTTAAAGCAACCCTGTATTCCTGGGATTAAGTCCCACTTAATCAAGACATTAAACTATATACTGTTCATGAGGGATATTGGTGGCATTTTCTTTTCTTTTGATTTCTTTTCTGGTTTTGACTTCAGACCAATAGTCATTTCATGAAATGAGTTGCAAAATACCTGCATCTATTATCCAAGAAGATTAATGTATAATTGGCATTATGTCTTCCTTATATGTTTGATAAAATTCACTAGTGAAGCAACATGGATTTGGAGTTTCTTTGTGAAAAATATTTTAATTAGCACTGGCTGAGTGGCTCGGTTGGTTGGAGTGTCTTCCTGTACTCCAAAAGGTTGCAGGTCTGATTCCCAGTCACAGTATATGCCTAGATTGTGGGTTCGATTCCCAGTCAGTGCACATATGGGAGACAACCAATCAATGTCTCTCTTTCTCTTTCTCTCTCTCTCTCTTTCTCTCCACTCCTCCTTTCCTCTTTTCTGCAGTTCCCTTGTTTCTAAGGATTCCTCTTTAATGTCCAGTTGTAGTTCCAGTCTCAGACTGTATATTCTGATTTTGAAACCCGGTAAGGCTTCAGATTTCTGCTGCCTGATTTGCACACAGTTAGAAAATATTCTCTTAAAAAAAAATCATCAAACAGAACTTACCTGGTGTACCCTGTGTCTTTCAAGTGTCTCCCCCTTCTCTTTTACCCCATGGAGTATTTCTGGTCCATGAATATTTTAGCATCCCTCCAAGTATTTGTACAGTTAATAATGAGATTTTTGGCCTTAACACTTTCACAATTCTCTCGCTTTCAGAGTTTTAGCCTTAAATTTCCAATGACACTCATTCTTAAACTCTGTTCTCTGCCACACTGAGTCAGTAGAGCTTCTGTTTTCCCCAACTATTTAATTCTGCCACAACTGTGGAGGTGAAAGAGCACCCTTGGACTAGAAAGGCATAAACTTAAACTTATACATTCCAGCTGCAGATTTTTCTAGAGTAAACTCTCCTCTGGCTTCTTTCTTCTTTATGTGTGTTCCAGCACAATTAAATATATACATATGCTACATATACATATTTATAGATAATATATATTATATATGGTTTATGTATTATATATTTCACATTTTAATATATAAATATACTTTTAACATATGTCTGCTTCACTTTGTTGTAAACATCTCCTCTATCATCTTTCATCTTTGTATTGGTTTTGTCTTTGTTGTACATTTTTATATTTTCTATAAGTAATAAATTTCATTTTAAAGTACTTTTAGTGGGAATCATCTGTCAATACAAACCTTTTTCCCATTATATTATCAAACCAGGTCTATCCCACTGCCAATAGTCTATATACTTCAGATGTTCTTGTCTGTTTTTGTTACTGTTTGTTGTTAAATACATTTCTTCAGCTCCTTCAATACTCTTTGCAGTCACTAATTCTAAGTGTGTAGTGATGCATACACTAAACAATGCCAAAAGACAATATCCGAAGACAAACATTGTCTTCAGAACATTTGCTCTCCATTTCCAAAATAGCAAAAAATTAGAGGACTTAACGACTGCCATCTTCTACAAAATAGATCATTTTTAATTTATTTTTCTAAACAACAAGGTCTTTATCTTTTTTCTCATGTATTAAACACATATATAGAAAACAAAAAAAATTTTTGAAAATTTTCTACTCACCCTTGCAGTGCCACAATCACATTGTTCATTTCCTTCCAACTTCCCATTGCCACATACGCTCCCTGTTGTTTTGTAAACTGGCGTAAGAGGAAGGGTGTTTTGAAGATGAAAGGGGTAACGAAGACATGCAAAGGCAGGATTTGAAGCAAAGTATTTAAACTCATCCAAGCTACACGTGCTAAATTCCTTTATACCATGAGAGTGCCTAAATTATTGAAAACATGGGCATGATAAAAGTTATTGCTATCTATCTCCACATTTACCCTAAAGTATGGCTTTTTCAAGATAGATTTGAAGAGCATTATTCTTCACAGAAAACAGAAGACACATTTTAAAAAATACACATTGCATTGCTAATATGTTTAATACACTTTTTAAATTTCAGCAGAAAACTAAGTAATGAAAAAAAAGGAACTGTGTTATTATTTCCTACTTTCTCAGTGCCAAACAACTGAATTAAAAATTTTTGGCTTCAGCATTGAATGTATTTTTATCTATTTAATATTATTTTTATATTTGTTCTGTAAATGCCAATGTGAATGCACTTAATAGTATATTTATTAATAGTATTTATTATTACTATTTGTTAATAGCGACTTCAATAGCATATTTTAGAGCTTTGCTGCTCTCCATAATTAAACATTTCTCAAATGAAAATCTGTTGTTTGAGCTCTATGGGAAGAACAATAGGAGTACCTGTCCTGACAGAGTAAAAGCTGTCAGCACTTTTGTAACACCGTGGCATCCAACTAAGACACTGTAAATATGACTTAAGAGACTAAAGATTGTGTTCTAGACCAGGGGTTGAGGAATTTTTGTCTGGAAAGGGCCACGTAGCAACTAGCATCAGCTTATATGCTGTACACTTTGTTGGAACTAAGAAATTAGCCACAGTAGTACAAGAGAAGTCATAAACAATGTGTAAACCAATAAACCTGGAAATATTTCAGTAAGATTTTATTTACAAAACATGCAGCCAGACCCATTTTGGGTTAATGTTGGCTGACCACTGCCCTATCCTATAATCTTCCCTATATCAATTCTAACAGAGTCTAAGTCAAGTTCTGACAGGATCCCAAGAGGAGACCAAGTTGGAAATACCTTGAGTTTTCATTTATCAATATTAATAAAACATAAAAGCAAGCAAATGAAACTCAAAATGATTAGCCAGTAGTTGAGTTGCTTGGTAAAAAAAAAATCAAAGCTTTTCAGAGGAAGGTAGGGGAATCTAAGCTTTCTATTGTATAACAACAATATCCAATGTGGTGAGGATGGTGGTGATGATGATGATGATAGACATAAAAGAAATAAGAAAATGTAATCCATAGCCAATAAAAAAACAATCAATAGAAATCAACACTGAGCTGGCCCAGGTGTTAGATATGGCACACAGATACTTAAAAGAGACTGATATTATATATTCTAACAATTAAAGAAAAATACTTAGTTAATTCAGAGAAATTACAGTCATAAGTGAACAATCAATGTATAGTTTACATTCAATTTACATAAAATTGTAGAGCAAGGTGAACTTGTAGGTGTAATTGTAGTGATAGAAATCAGGTTAGTTGATGCCTGCGGCAAGGGTGGGAGGCAGAGGGCCTGCTGCCAAGGGTCACGAAGGACCTTTCTGTGGAGAGACAAAGGCTGCATAGCCTGACCACACTTTGGTTCAAAGATTTATATATATTTGTAAAAAGTCATGAACTTACACACTTAAAGTATGTCAATTTTATTGTGGACAAGTTATACATCAATAATTGGTTGTTTATAAAGTATAAACACTCAAAAATATGGTGAGAATATTTTTCTGAGAAACTATCACAAAGAAGGAGGAATAAATTTATTTATCTACATAAAAAATTAGATATGATGGATTCAGAAATCAAAGGATAAAATTAAGTAATGAGAAAATATCCTGAGCTGATTAGATCATTATGTGCAACATATTTACTGAGCACTCTTTTGGCAACCATTATTTATTAAAAAGTAGTCCAAGTGCCTGCCAGGAGCAAAAAGTATGAACCCCAGGAAAGAAATATGTGAAATAAGTCAGATAGTTATTGGAATGATGAAGAACAAAAATAAAGCAACATATTGTGCAAGGGAATAACAGATATTATTTTGAAAGAGAGGATTTTTTAAAAATCTATAGCTAACATCATATTTATGGTGAAAAACTGAATGTTTTTGCCTAAGATTGTAAACGAGGCAGTAATAACCACCCTTACTACATCAGTTCACATTGAGCTGAAGTTATTTCAAGTGTAATTAAGCAAGAAAAAAAAATTAAACACAAATAGATGAAAAGGCAAAAATAAAACTGTCCTTATTCGTGAATAACAAGACCTTGTTTATAGAAAATACTACAAAATCAACAAATAAAATCTCCTGGAACTTCTAAAGTGTTTAACAAGTTTGCAGTATCCAAAATCAGTGTACAAAAATCTATTATATTTCTATGTACAAGCAATGAACAATTTGGAGAGGATATTAATCCCTGAACGTTATGGCTCAGTCGGTTAGGCATTGTCCTGAAACTGAAAGGTCTCTGCTTCGATTCCTAGTCAGAGCACGTGTCTGGGTTGCAGGCCAGATCCCCAGTTGGGGGCGTGCGAGAGGCAACTGAGTAATGTGATTCTCTTGCACATCTATGTTCCTCTCACTCTTTCTCCTTCCTTTCCCCTCTCTCTAAAAATAAATAAATACAATTTTTGGAAATGATATCAAGTAAACAATTGCATTCATGATAGCAAAAATAATACTTACAAGAGAAATTTAATAATGCTTAAAGATAAATTTAAGAATAAAGATAAATACTTAGAGATAAATTTAAACTGTTAACAAAATTATATTGCTGAGAAAAAATGAAGATATATACCAGAGTCAAGAATCAAAATACTCAATATTATTAAAATGGCAATTCTCCCAAAATTGAACTATGCAAGTAAACTATGCAATACTTTTCAAAATCTCAGCAGGAGTTTCTGTAAAAATTAGAAAGTTGATAAACTATACATAAAATTGCAAAGGACCTAGAACAGGTGAAAGAACTTAAGTGCTTGCACTATCTGATTTCAAAATTCAATATAAAGCTACAGTAACAAAGGCAGCATGTTTTTCCATAAGGGTAGACATACAGATGAATAACATAAAATAGAGATTTCAATTTAAAATCTGCACATATGTGGTCAATTGATTTTTGGAAAAGTTGCCAAGGTAATTAAGGGAGGGAAAGGATTTTTTTTTTAACAAGAAGGATTGGAATAATGGGAAATCCATATGCCAAAAATAAAAATAAACACATATATAATAATTAAATCAAAGTCTACCATAAAACTGAATATAAGAGCTATAAAACCATGATGGAGAAAAGAAAAAAACAATAAAGTGTACCTCATCAAAATTAAAAACATTTTCTTAAAAAATTCATTGTAAGGAAGAAATCGTGTATCTGATAGCGAGAATATATAAACAATTCTTACAACTCAATAAGGGCATGAAAATCTTTTTTTGTTTTTAAAATTAAAAAAAGGGATTTAAATAGGTTCTTCACCAAAGGTGATATACAAAGCTACTAAGCATGGAAATATGTTCAACATCATTAGTTCCTAGGGGAGTGTAGATTAAAACCAATAGGAGATCATACTACATACCCAGTGAAATGATTAAAATTCAACATACTGAACACACTGTCTTAGTGATGATGGGAAACAACCTGGACTGGCTACACAAGATGGAAATGCAGGGCCCCGTGTTTATAAAGCAAGGGAAAGAATTATTAATGACATTAAAATTAAAAACTTTTTCCTTTCGTCAAAAGTCTCTCTCTCAATGGGTCATGGTGTTATTTATTTGCAATTTAATGACTTTTTAAATAAAAATTTTGATTAACATGAATTGTACTCTTCATCCTTATCTTGGACAATGCCAGTTTATCGCAAATATCAGAGCATTTAACTTGATGCAGAATCGCTGAAATGACACAATTCATCTGGCCTGTCCCTAAAGGGAGCTTTCAAGCAGACCAGGGAAAAAATATAAAGCCAGGCTCTGGAAAGTAGAAAGGAGGAAGAGAGTTGCCCCAGGCATGGAGTGCTAGGGGAGTGTTGGGCCTATTTTGGTGTGTGTTTCCATCTGCACTTGAAAAGAATGTGTATTCTGTAGTTGTTGGATAGTGTGTTCTACACCTGTCAATGACTTTAGTATGCTTAACACAAATGCAAAAGTTCCTAACCAAAAAAGTTCTTACAAGGAATTATGGGTATTTCATGAAGAAAATGATCTTACACTGCTTCCGGTGACATTGTGCAAACATCTCCTGTGCAGGAGCAGGAGTCCGTGCTGTCAAAACTCAGTCCCAGAGTAAGGCCGAGCAACTGCACAATGCTGACGGTGTATGACTCCAAAGATGAACCCTCCGGATACTAAATATAAGAAAAATAAAAGGCAAAGATTCAGCTAAGATCCCATTCAGTTATTTTTTTAAAAGAGCAATGCTTACTATAATCAAAAATTAGTATATGAAATTCATTTTTCAAATATATTAATGCATCCAAGGAACCTATGTAGATGCAACTAGTAATTATAGAAGCATCTGGATGACAGATTTCTTAAACATGGACAAATAAACACAAAAGTATCATTTCAATATTCTATGACTTAATGACAACAGTAGCTACCTTAGAATCCGATTAAACACCACATTGTATTGCTTCTTTGACTTATTTTGAACAAAATGTCTCTCATCTTTTACTAACCAATTCTGCATTTTCTTTGTAGAAAGCAGCCTCTAAAATGGGTTTCAATGATTTCTGCCTTCCGCTCTCTGTGTCCTTTAGTGTAAGCTGCATTTATTGACATACCTCTAGTAAACTGAATATAGCAGAATTGATGGGTCATCTTTTCCAAGACAGGTTAGAAAAAGACTTAGCTTCTTGGATTCTATGAATCACTGTCCTCACTCTGGGGGAAGCCATCTTAGCTACCGTGTCATGATGAAGGCCAATGGAGAGGTCCTCCTGAGTGAGCTTGGAAAAACACTTTCTGTGGCCTTCCAATGGCCACGTGACTAAGATTGGAAGCAGATCCTCTCTGTGTTGAACCCTGAGGTGACTACAGCTCTAGCTGACACCTTGATTTTGCTTACTAAGCTGCTCCTAGAATTTCAATCCATAGACCTGCATTGTTTACATCTGCTAAGTTTTGGTACAATCAGTTATATAGCAATAGATAATTATAAACCCTCAGTAGATATTGTTGTTCTCCTTTGTATCATTCCCAGTTTCTTCACACAGATGTTTATAGCAGCTTTATTCACGATTGCCAAAACTTGCAAGCAACTAGGGTATGTATCCAAACACTAGATGAATGGATACATAAACTGTGGCACGCTTAAGACAATGGAAGAGTATTCAGCACTAAAAAGAAATGAACTATGAAGTAATGAAAAGAAATGGAGGAACCTTAAATGCATATTACTAAGTGAAAGAACCCGATCTGAAAAGGCTACATACCGTATAATTCCAGCTATATGACATTCTGAAGAATACAAAATTATGGGGACAATAAAACAATCCGTGGTTGCTGGTAAGGAGGTGAAAAATTAATAAGCAGAGCCCAGAGGATTTGCGGGGGGGAGAGTGAAAACGTTCTATATGATACCATAATGTGTATTTATGTATACGTATATATACACAAACAACATGGATGAACCTTGAGGGCATTATGCTAAGTGAAATAAGTCAGACTGATAAAGATAAATGCTGTATAATCTCACTTATATATGGAAACAACCAAACCCATACGAGCAAAGAACAGATTGGTGGTTGCCAAGGGAAGGGACCATAGGTTGGGAATGAGCAAAAGCAGTCAAAGGGCATATATTTCCAGCTTCTGGAGATGCTCTGTGCAGTGCAGTAACTAGAATTAACAATATTGTACTGTGTATTTGAAAGTTTCTAAGAGAACAGATTCAAAGGTTCTCACTACACACACATACACAAATAGTAACAATTGCAGATGATGGATATGTTAACCTTATTGTGGCAATTGTTTCACAATGTATACACATATCAAATCAGTACACTGTAGACTTTAAATTTACATAACATTATAACAAGTATATACCAGAGCCAATTTTAATGGTTTTGACCTGTCAATGGCAATTTGTTTCATCATAGTTGCTACTAAAAGTCAACCAACTGCACAAATTGGTCAATATGAAAATCACAGTACACATGTATTTTTCTGAAGCTCTCTCAACTTAGTTCCCTTTCCTACTTTTTATATAACTTGTTGTAAATGGAATATAACTCTGTAATAAGAGCTCACTCTAACTTTCCTCAGAAATCAGTAGATTATGAATATTTGATAGATGTTTTCTCCTGCAAGCCTGCTCCTCCCAAACATAAAGACTTGAATACAATAATAAAATAATTACCTTAAATTAGAAATAATAATAAATTTCACTTAATAAAAAAACAAAAGAATGTACAAAAATATTCATTTTGAGGGAAAGATTGATATGGTCAATAATTAACGTTAAAATCGCTTTGAATATATAATAAATATTGATGAAAGCATACCACTGTTCAAAACAAGCTTTCGCTTACAAAGGTCAAATAAATTTTTAAAAACAGTATTACATTATGATCGGTTTAATTTTTAAATGTTCTATTTTTTAAAAGATTTTATTTATTTTTAGAGAGAGGGGAAGGGAGGGAGAAAGAGAAGGAAACATCCATGTGCAAGAGATACATTAATCTGTTGCCTCTCCCACATCCCCAGCTGGGTTCCCAGCCCACAATCTAGGCATGTGCCCTGACCAAGAATTGAACCAGCAACCTCTCAGTTCACAGGCTGGCACTCAATCCACTGAGCCACAACAGCCAGGGTTAAATGGTTTATTTTTTAAAAGCAATTAAATACACTTTAATTTTATGCTTCAAAATTAGTGATATAAAATACTACTAAAGAATGAGTAACCTATGTAATATATTTATTCATTCTTTAAAATATTTAGAAAATTTTGAAACATGAAAATAAGGAAAGCAAACTGGATAATAATTACATACCAGAGCAACTCCTGCGATATATTCCTCACTACATATTTTTCCAGGATATATAGCTCCTATAAAACTCAAATGTTTCTTGAAGCTACAAAAAATAAGAATTTCCTCATAATTGCATTTAAGGATGGTATTATTGATGATAAATTTTCATAGCAACAAACATTAGTGAGCACTCACTATGTCCTAAGCACAATGCTACGCTGAATTAAGCTAATTGAAACACATTTTTCTCATACCTACAAGATTAAGAATATTTCAATACATACTTGTAACTTTTTTATTGGGTAAACTCTCAGAAGTATAATAAGGATAAAGCCTAAAAGTTATGCCAAATGCATTTGCATTAATAGTTATGGTTTTTATTCTGGTTCCCTCTACATTTACAGCCCTGAATGTCAATTCTCTGTAACCTCCTTATTCATTCATTCACTAAAAATGAGTGCATTTTTCTGTACATAATATTCTGGGTGATGAAACAATTCAAAATATTTGCTATTAGAAAATAAAAACATAAAAATGAATGTGATGAAAGACAAGATACAGAGATAATATAACAGGTAGTAAAAGTTTGTAAGCCAAGCAACATCAAAGAAATTGTATCACTCATGATTAATCTCCTTCAGTTAATTATTTCAATGCATTAATGTAACTTAACTTTTGTCAGGTTATTTTAACTCAGTTGATAGAAGTTTTTAAGTCTGCTTCACATGAAGTCATTGAAGACAAGAACTATAACTTACATTTTTTTCCCATCCCAATCATGTCTATGAAATTTACAGAATACAGTATATATTAAATAAACTCTTATTTTTCATAATTTAACATATGAAATCATTTCCATTATTTTTTTATTTTTTCTTCTTATTATATTATTCAAATACATTTGTCTCCATTTTCCCGCCACCACTTTCCCCTGTCCTACCCATCCCAACGCCCACCCTCAATCCTTCCCCACTTTGGCTTCATCCATGGGTCCTTTATACATGTTCCTTGACTTGACCCTTCCCTTTCTTTTCTCTGTTACCCCACTCCCACCTTCCTTCTCATTACTGTGGATATGTTTTTCTTTCAATTTTGCTGGTTATATTTTTCTTGCTTGTATGTTTTGTTGATTTGGTTCCTCTTATAGGTAAGATCATAAGGTATTTGTCCTTCACCCCATGACTTATTTCATTTAGCATAATGCTCTCCAGTTCCATCCATGCTGTTGCAAAGGGTAGTAGCTCTTTCTGTTGCATAGTATTCCACTGTGTAAATGTACCAAAGTTTTTTGATCCACTCATTTACTGATGGACACTTAGGTTGCTTCCAACACTTGGCTATTCTAAATTGTGATGCTATGAACATCGGGGTGCATAGGTTCTTTGAAATTGGTGTTTTAGAGTTCTTCGGATATAATCCCAGCAGTGGGATTGTTGAGTCAAAAGGCAGTTCCATTTTTAGTTTTCGGAGGAAATTCCATACTGTTCTCCACAGTGGTTGCACCAGTCTGCATTCCCACCAACAGTGGACTAGGGTTCCTTTTTCTCCACAGCCTCGCCAGCACTTGCTGTTTGTTGATTTGTTTATGATGCCCACTCTGACTGGTGTGAAGTGGTAACTCATTGGAGTTTCATTTTGCATTTCTCTGATGGATAGTGATGATGAACATCCTTTCATATCTCTGGGCCCTATGTATGTCCTCCTTGGACAAGTGTCTGTTCAGGGCCTTTGCCCATGTTTTAATTGGATTGTTTGTCTTCCTGGTGTGGAGTTGTGTAAGTTCTTTATATAATTTGGAGATCAAACCCTTGTTTGAGGTATCATTGGCAAATATATTTTCCCTAACTGTTGGTTCCCTTTTCATTTTGGAGATGTTTTCTTTAGCCACACAGAAGCTTCTTATTTTGGTGAAGTCCCATTTGTTTATTCTTTCCTTTATGTCCCTTGCTCCAGAGGACATGCTGGTGAAAATATTGTTGTGTAGAATATCTGAGAGTTTCCTGTCTATATTCTCCTCTAGGACTTTTATGGTGTAGTGACTTATATTGAAGTCTTTTATCCATCTTGAGTATATTTTTGCACATGGTGTAAGTTGGTGGTCAAATTTCAAATTTTTGCATGTAGCTGTCCAGCTCTCCTAGACAAATTGTTGAACGGGCTATTTTTACTCCATTTTATGCTTCTGAATCTTTGTCAAATATTAATTGACCAGAGAGACATGGGTTTATTTCTGGGCTCTCTATTCTGTTCCATTGATCTATGTGTCTGTTCTTATCCCAGTACCAGACTATTTGGATTAGAGTGGCCTTGTAATATAGTTTGATGTCAGGTATTATGAATCCCCCTTCTCTGTTCTTCTTTCTCAAAATTGC